CTTTCAATTTCTAAAAATTATGTGGAATGACTCTCAAGGCCCCACACACCTCTTATATATTATAATTTAATGTTCAAAGATTATAATTTAATGTTCAAAGACATTAAATGTCCATAAAATAATTAAATGACCACAAAAAAACTTAACTTAAACAAAAAATTGTAATAGTAGTTTTGTCCGTGTAAATAATTGAATGGTACTTGATAATAGTATTCATGAAATAAATAAAAAATATAAAAACTCTAAAATTTCTAAAAAAAACTAAAAAAACCTAGAAATAAACCTTAAAACTAAAACTATAATATGCATCCTTTGAAATTGACTAAAAACTAAAAATAAGAATAATTTTGCCCTCTATTATTCTCCCCTAATTGGAGAAAACTCATCCTCGAATTTTGAAATGTGCTAAGATGAAATTAGAACTAGTTTGGAAACATTCTTCGACTCAAATATTGTAATCATGATCATCAGACTTATAGGTTATTGCAGTAATCAACACACAATGGTTATGCATTGGAAATGAGAACCTTCAAGGAAAGGATTACGATAGATCGATAGAATATTTTTAATCATATAAACTTGTTGAAGTTGCAACGCTTCAGCAATTTAACCCCACTAAATTTGCCCAAGCTCAACTCGAGAACATACATGGGTGCACCTTTGAGATCAGCGACTAAACCAACAACTTCACCTATCAATTCTCCTTGGAATCCTTCCTTGTTTCCTCATCAAATACCAATTCAACCATGAAATCTTGATCATCATCGTAAATTGGATCTTACAAAATCTTGTTATTCATTTAAGTATGCGTCAAAGATTGATGGTGAATCTCAATCTAAAACTAGTTGATTTTTTATGCAATTTGTATCAAAATCAATAATGTCATTCTTTAAATAAAAAATGCTAGAGTCTAGGTCTTTTTTCACTATCCTCATCACCTGACTCCACACGCAGAGTACAAAAGTAAAAAAGACTTAAACTCGAGATCCTCTTGGGCTAAAAGATTAGCATCTTGCCCATTATTGAGGCTCGCAAATTGTTGTGTCAGCCACTGAATTTGCCTTTCAAGTTCCTCAATTCTCTCATTTTTAGGCACCATGGGATCACGAAAATCACAAATTTTAGGCACATAATGAACAAAAATACTGCTGAAATCAGCAAGATCTAGGTTATTTTTGCTAAACTTTGATCAAAATCAACAAATCCTAGTCCCCATTGTAAATTTCTTACTTTGATGTTTTTCTCACGCACCAAAATTTAATGCTACAGTACTATCTGTGCAATACTACAGTAACTTCTTTACAATGCTATAGTACTTCAATACATTGCTAAAGTACCTTTTGTATAGATCACGGTCTCTCGTACCAAATTGAACCAGGAAAATACTTTGTGAATAGTAATAGAGCCGCAACTCCTATGGGAATGGTGTCGAGTCGTATGCGAATATTGTTTATTTTCACGGTTGGTGGCTGTGATCATTGAGTACACATGCAGGAGGCAGTTGGGCAAGCCCATTCAGAATGCAGGTTAATGGTCCTTAGACATTTAGAGATTTAATATTTAAATATTTGATTATGGTTTTATATTTTATAGTCCACTGATGATAGCCCATGTAATTAACCCTTGTATATTTTCTTAATATTTGTGCTATCTAGGTTTCTTCATCAACCCTAAGTATTACTACATGAAACCAAATACTCCATCTAAGGTCATCGATAGGTCAATATTCTGAATAGACAGATTTGAGAAAAGCAAGGGGAACCATATTGTAGCAATGAGACAGTTAAGAGAACTTATATTAAGAAACTGTTCTACTTGGTGCATTTTTGTGAAATCTACACCACTATACCCTCTCTTTTGTTTTTTCTCATCATCCTTTGTCTAGGGATATGCACAAGGAACATTTGCAAGAAATATTGCTAAGTTATCTCGAATTAAGATGGATCCAGCTTAGCTCTCAAGCCCTTTCTTATGCATTTTTCTAGCCTTTTTTGTTTGTTTTTTACTTGTTGGGGCATTTATTATAAGATTGTTATCTTTCTCAGCTGAACGATGGAAGCTACACAGCATTGACCAACTCACGCTCAAAGTACTGAATCAGATTTATTCTACTACGAGGTATGAGCAAAACTGAAGTTCATTCTAGTAGTTGCACAGTCCTGAGATGAACAAATTGACTTCAAACTGGCTTTTGACGTTGCTTTGCATGCTATAATTTGAATCTGAGAGCTACAATTAATTTAGGAGGGAAGCGAAGCGAAGCGAAGAACTATAACTCGACCAGCCTCAATTCATAACTATGCAGGCTTCTTCTAAAGAGTAGGCGATGAAAGAAGAGGAAGAGGAAGCAATGCTTGATAAAAGGATATATTTACGAGCAATCAGTGCAGTGGAAGTTGACCGGCAAGGGAGAAGACCGAAGTTGACCGGACCGGCAACGGAGAAGACCAACTTCGGAGGCGGCAGCCAAGATTAGGTTTCAAATGAAAATATGGGAACACTAAAGAGGGAATCGGGGCAAGATATGAGTAAGGAGATGGGGGAGGGGATGTTAATTTGGAGGCCAACCAGTCCTAGCTAAATGCATGCGCTGACATAGGGGAGCGTTAGCCTTAAATGTGTGGGAGGGGGCACAGGGGGTGGAGCCACATTGGGGACTTCATGTTAGGAGGAAGGATTACATTTAGGAGTGGCAACGGGACGGTCTGACTGGACCTAGACCCAAACCTAAATAGATTTGGTTGCAGGTTTCGGACCTGGACCCAACCCGTCGGGTCTCGGGTCTATTGTCACTCTCACTATGAGCTTATTTTTTTCTTTTATTTTTTCTTTTTTTTTACTATCATATACCCGTATTATTGGCAACAAAGTTTAAAACGGGATTAGATTTCAAACGGGATTAAAGTAAAATATTTTATCTCTAACAGTTTACAGGGACGGGTCAAGTCCACCTGGACCCGGACCCGGACCCGGAACCGGATTCAGACTCGCATAATGTTCAGGTCCAAATGCTAGATCCATACGCGACCCAAGTCGGGAATGCCCAGCGGGCCCAAGTCAGATCCGGGTCCATTACCACCCCTAATTACATTGTCCAATTCCTCTATAAACGGACAGTTTGGTGTACAAGTGATATAGCGGTGATCGAGATTATAGTGGTCTACATCACTATTTGGAATGCATAAGGAACACATCAAGTAAAAATTTGCTAAGAGCCATAAACCTGTAAAAATAAGCCAAGAGCTATAAACCTATATAGGGAGACTCTTTTCTCTTTTTTTTTAAGCTGTAGATGGGAAGATTCTTTTACGGGAAAATATCACTAAGGAATGAAACCCCATACAATATCAAGGATCAATTTTTATTTTTATTTTTTTGTTAACATTTGAGGTATATGTTGTTTTTTTATTATTTCAGTTAGATACCTCCTCAATAAAAAATTTAAAAATATCTAAAATACTTTTATTTGGTATTTGGAATGGCAGAAATATCATAATTTGACCTCTAAGAAGCCTCTATTGAATAACAAAAACACCCTTCTTCTGCATTTCAAATAACTAAAACTTCGTTCAATATTAAGAATGCGGGACAAATAAGGTATTTTTGTAATTTGATACATGCAAAGTATTTAAGTGCAAAATAATAAAAAAAACCCCCAACTGTTCGGCATTACTAATACCGAATCATGTGTTCCTTACTTGAAATGTAGAACAATAATGGGTATTTTTGTCATTCAATTGAAGCATCCTAAAAGTCAAATTACACAAATGCACATGATTGTTCACGTTCCAAATACCAAATAAAAGCAATTTTGGTACTTCTCAACACTTTTATTAAAGAAGTATCTAATTAAAATGAAAAAAGAAAAAACTATACCCTCAAATGTTGCTAGAAAAAATCTGATTTCATACCCTTTACAAATATTTCCCCATTTGTTTAACCCCAGAACTCTAATCACCTCTGTTAATGTCAATAATCCGTCCAGATTAATTTTGACTTCAAGCAAGATACCCACTCCGGATCGATCCCCGTTCCCAAATTATGAGATTATCACCGTCTCGTCAATGGGTTGTACAGTGATGGGAGGAGTCCACTAAAAATGTGCTACGTTCCCACCGTCCCTGCATCTCCATCTATAGCATTGATCGGATGCCGGTAAACCACATGCTCCATAGGGTTATTATATGACCCTATGGATCATATAATATCTGCCCTTGCTATGTAGAAATTGCCTCAAAAAGTCGAATATGTTTCAAAAAGTCCGAATCTTTTCTGAATTAAAGTTAATTTTTAGGGCATGTTTGATAAGTGGGTGGGAGTTAAGTGACCTACTTCCAAGTTTGATATTACTTGGAAGCTATAAAATGGAAGCCTTCTAAGTAGCTTTTTTTGTGTTGAAGTTTGATATTACTTGGAAGCTGTAAAATGGAAGCCTTCTAAGTAGCTTTTTTTTGTGTTAAAATGGGCTCATTTTTTAAAGACTTCCCTTCCATAAAAAATAAGAACATTTTTCCATACTCCGTGGAGAGTCCCTCCCACTCCCAAAAACTCCACTGCGATGAGAGGGCTTACTTTTAAATGAGCAAAATACGCTTCTTCAAATATATTAACAATTTATAGTTAAAAGTCCTTTCTAAACTTGGGAAACTATTAGAAATATACTTTTATTTTTGCTTAATAGGAAAAAAAAACACTCAACTTTTATAAACCGCATCCACACCTTTTGTTAGCATTTTGTTTGACCAAAATAGCCTCCACAGTAGTCGTATTATTGTGAAGCCCTAATATTAAAATACTTTAAGCACCGTAATGACTATCCCATTTTATACGGAATTTTAAATATTGTGATTACTTGAACTATTTTAAATGCCAAAACTAAGAAAAAAAAGTGTGGATGAGATTTATAAAGTTAAGGTTTTTTTTTCTAATATTCAAAAATTAATGTATATTTTTTATAATTTCCCTTTAAACTTCAAGTGCAATTTATGGTCAATATTCCATAGTAGAAAATTCTAATTTCACCATTAGAGCAGTGCATTCTAATACATATACATAAAATACAGCTCCACAGATAATGTTTATAACTTTCCCAAACAAATAATTGAAGTGTAAGAGAACATGGCGGTTTCATTTCATTATTTTACTGAAACTCATAAGAGGAAAAGCTGAAACCTGATTTCCCCTCGCTTGTGGCCTTCAGCTCCAGCTTCTGAAACGGGCTGAATAACAGGGAATACGTGAGTGATACTTCGAAAAGTTTGGAACAAAAGTGAAGAATTATGGAAATGTACGAGAGAGAGATCCAAACACAACTGTTTCACGAAATGCTACACTCTCACAGGTGAACTTGTAATCAGTATGAGATACTCCAGAGACAGAACTTGAAGAATATAAACTTTTCCAAACCATGTCACAAAGGAATCATTATAATAGGACGCAAGAGCACTACTGTATTTAGTATCTTACGTAATACATCATATGCATATGTTAAGAGGACAGACTAGTGATTGTATTGAGTGTATATACGCTTTTCTTCTTTTTCCTTTTTTTTTCCTATGTTCGATGGTTAACACAATTTTATATAAAACATAGGTTACAAGTTTATCACAATTTGAAAGGAGAAGAAAATGAAAGAGAATAAAATTATTAAATAAATAAATAAATAAAATACATAAAAAGAAGGAGAAGATATGACGGCATCCCAACTCTTTACTTCGGTCCAAAACCAAACATCTAAACATTAGTAGCTCCTCCTTGTCCACCCCTTACAATAGCTAGGGTATCTGCTTCCACATTTGCCTGAGCTTCCAAGGGGATATGTGCAATGATACCTCTTTACCATTAGAAATATAAAAAATCTCCATAAAGAACAACAAACACCAAGGAAGTGGTCCCTCTTTCCTAGGCCATTTCAGAACATTGAGGCAATCCTCTTCCAACTCCAATGGCAATGCCACATGAGGACATACTCTCAATCCTACCAACAGGAAACGTATCTCATCCTTGCACAATGATCCAACAAACACAAAAATATTATAATTGTAACCAAATTTATATCTCTATATACATCTCCAATAACCAACGGGCCTGAAGTTGAAGTTCTATCAAAATGCAGCTTCAGTGTACCATCCTTAGGGGACGATAATACAGTTCTATCAAAATGCAGCTTCAGTGTACCATCCTTAGGGGACGATAATACACCACTTTTCTACAAATATTGGTGGATATCACAAAATGGCATCTTATCCTGAAATTCAACATTCGATAGCCCTGTCACTGGTGCAAACATAGAGCCTAAGTAATGGAAGAACCCAGATGTATATATCAGTATGCACTTTTTGATATATTTATATCAATATGTATATAGGTTACATGCTAAATGCCCAAATATATGCTATTCCCATTCGGTTCCAGACCTCAAACATCAGTTTGAAACTTTGAATTTCGTCCCATATTCAGAGACGTGGGTTAGAAATCCTACATCCCATACATGCCCAAAATTTTTGTAAAAATACACCTACAGAAACAATGTAATAGCACCTTGTTCCACATTAAATTTGAGCACCCTGAGCACCTTCATCTCAAATCCTATGGGGTTATGTTCCAAAGTACTTTGAATCTCATATGTTCATCTCAAGCCCTATAAAAAATTACAGGAAAACATTGTCTCCCATTACAATGAGTGTTGCATAAAATACAAGCTGATATCTATAAAAGAAGCCATGCATATATCCACTAAAGGAAAGAAACTCAGCAATCTTACCCCATTTGTTCTTTGTTGCATTTGTTTGGCCATACAGCACTTTAATAAGCTTGTAAATTAGTGCCAGATGCAAGAAAACCAATTTGAAGACTCTACAAGGTTTCTTTCATCTAATTCTCCATAGAAACAAAAAGTCGCTTTTAAGTAACAATTGCCACAAACCCCATGAAAATGTTGCTTGTTGCTAATGAAATACAAAGCCTTGCTCTCACCATCTTTGCCATGGGACTCAATGCTTCTCTAAATTCAGGTCATCCTATGACTAGCAACCAATATGGCTAACATAAATTCACCCACCACTCCAGACCGAAATATATCCAGGAAATCTATGAAAGAAATAGCAATAAGATGACATCATAGTACTAGTAAGCTTTTGTTTTCAATCACTGACACCACCACCTATCAATGGACTAAGGTTCAATAAACCCGTCTATAAAGTCCTTTCCTACAATAGCATAGAATAAATAGCCCAAAGAAAAATAAAGACATGAAACATGATAATCGAAAACAAATACCTTACAAATGCAGAATGTCATCCTAATGAACAAGGTAGATCACATCAAGACCCAAAACTCACTTCTAATGGATGATATCAGGAGGCACTAAAATTATATAATGATTATGGCCATAAAAAATGGATATGACATAAAACATTTAACAACGTTTAAATTCAATTTTTGAAAACAACAGTGATGTTATTCTAAAAATAATTGGTGCATAATGGCATTATGATGGACTCAGTTGGAGTATACTTTTTTTATTTTCAAAATGTTCATCAAATTTTCAAAAAACAATGATATGATAATAGATTAGTAGATATATGTCCATTGCCCGTAGAAAAGTATTGATTGATAACCAAACAATTAAGGTATACTAATCTTCATATGAAATAGAAGAAATAATAAGATAAAATGAATAAATGACTAAAAACATTCAAGAAACGAAAAACATATATGACATAGTTTACAAAGGAGTGTAGTTTGTATAAGGCTACAACTTTAAAAAATCCAAGTAAGGCGCACCGCTAAATTATGCTAAAAGCTATAGTTCTGGTGCCAGAAAATTTTGTGATGGCTTAAACAATTGTTTTTGTTCCTAGTCGTGAAATTTAAAGCTCTAAAAATGATGTAAAATCAAGTAGATCTATAAACACTTGAAAATCTTGAAAATGGACAGTATAGATATGTGCTACAAAATGCACTATTTTCAGGACTTGAAATCAATTTTTTTTATATTCATACGTCTCGAGGTCAAGATAATCAATTGGAAGGTTTTGCAGTGTCAAAACATTCTGTTTTGGTGGGTTTTTCAGGTGCGGCTTACTTCTACAGTATAAGGTTGACACCTTATACAAACTTTTTCCTATACATAGAAATGGAAAACATACCTCATTGCCAACCTCAGTTTCATCCACTCTCTCTCTCTCTCT